TTAGGCGATCAACTTACCAAGACCGCTGGAAGACTAGAGGGTCTTAAACCCAATATGAATCATATTAGAAATTTATAGACAGGCATAAAGATATCGAGGGAGTTGTATGGCAAAACACTCCAAGTGGAAGTCGAACATAGGAAGACTATACTGATTATGAGAAACTACATATGTAGTACTAAATAACATGTAGGTAATATACCTATTTTATGAATAATCAATTTAAATCGATTTTTATTGAATCTTAGTGATCCTCCCATAACAAACTCCTAAACTTTAGTAGATACTTCCCAATCTCTGATATACCTTCTTCGCATATGCATACAGATTAAGGAACAATGTTTTTTTTTGCATAGTTTTATTGTCAATCAAAATAAAATACATTTTTTAAGACAATGTGATGTTGGTGTTAATGCATATAAGAGATTATCTCCAATGAGACATCTCTCTTTTTTTATTTTTGACATTTTATTTAAGGTCGTATGGCCATTTTTTTTCAATCTGCGTGTGGGATATTCCTCGCTTAACTCTTTCAAATAAATATTTGGGTGACCTGGTAGTTTTTCGTGGTATTTTTTGCTCCTTTTTTTTAACATGTCATTAATAGTTTTTATTTTTAGGTCTTTATGTAGGGTGTCATTTGTAATATACCAGGGTGCGTTCACAATGCATCTTAAAATGTTCGATTGCGCTACTTGTATTTTTTTTATATTTGAATTGCTTGCGCACGCCCATAGCTCAATGCCGTATGTCCAGATTGGGATAATTATTTAAGGAACAATGTGACTTGTAATTTTAAAAAATCAAATAATTATTTCCTTTATCTAATTATCCCTGTATCTGTTTCCTATCTTCACGTCCATCCCGGCATTCGAATCTCGCAGAATGTTGTCGGATGAGGATATAGATATCAAGTGTATCCTATATCCTCCTATATCCTCGATTATACGTTGTGCGCGGCCCGGCTCGGCTCGGCCAGCATTCGTCCCGAGCATCCGCGGATAAGCTCAACAAGTGCGAGAGCGCTGGGCGGATCAGCGCAGAGCTAAAGGATAAACCACGCCTGAAATGCGATGTCACTCCCTGTTAACGGGATATAAGATCAGAGATTTGTCGGAAATTCTGGCGGGATAAATGAATTTAATATAAATTTTATTTTGATATACACATTTTGCGTTATTTTAGTTTATAGAAATGATTAGGTACTGCTTGGCATACAAAAACTCTTGAATAATGCATCTTACAATACATGTTCTTATCATATATAATAATTTTCTTTCTAAACATAGTAAATATTTTTTAAATGTAGCCAATACTAGAAGGCGGTAACCCAATGGGTTTAATATTGTTATTAATTTCAAATTAGTATTTTCGACTTCATCTGGCAGTATGCCCCAAAAGACTTTTTTTACTTTAAAATATATTTCAGTTTATAAGTGCATCTGGGCCAAATTCGAATTCATATCGCCCTGGGGCACTGGCTGAAATTTTAGTTAATTTTAACTAAATGATATACATTCGTAAAAAATTGACTTTTTGATAAATAACATATGCTCATAAAAATGTTACATATATAGAATGGGGCTGTGGGCATATAAAGATTCAGCTAATTAATACATTTTGTACGTACTATTTTCAAAGTTCTCATATTTTTTATTATTAGCAATATATTATTCATTAGGGTTCGTTGTGGCGAAGGTCGTTAACGCGTTGACTTTGTATGGATAGGGTCGCGCGTTCGATTCCCCGCTCTGGCAATCTGATATCGGGCAGCGCGATGTCCATTATCAATTGAAAATATAGATCAAAATATGTTTCCAATTGAAAATAAGCCCATCTCGGGCACTGCGGTGTGAAATGGCAATTTAAAAGTTTTGTTCTAACACATTTACCGTATATTTTAGATTTGTTTTAATTATTTGGATTAGTGATTCCGCAGCAATAGCTTTATAATACTTTGATTTTTTTACATAAGTATATTGAAATACTAATTAATAAATTTCTGTCAGCACAATACTTTAGATTATCTCAGACACAGATATAAATATTTAAAACTAATTAATAAACAGTGACCTTAAGTGCAAATTTCTGTTCCAATTTTATTGATATTTATTCTGATTTTGATACTTATGAAATATTTTTCAAAAGTGATTATAAATTAATTATAATCAAATTAAATTAAAATAAAAAAATTGAATTACAGAAGTTTGAACATATCATTGATAGCAATAATTATAGTTATTATTTAAAAAAATTATTATTCTTAAATTTCCATTTCAACTTTACTATTTTTTAACATTTTACTATTTACAACTTAAATTTGTTTTCAAATAATTTTAAAAAAAATCAATAAATATGAAAATTATGCTAAAATACAAACAAATACAATGCTTGATACGTTTGTTTTTTGTGACTTTTCAAATCCTTTTATACTTTTTTGATATTATGTTTATTTATTCAAATATAATTTTAGTATATTTTATTTATTAAATACAGAGTATATGTTTATAACACCACAAAAATGCAGATTCACATATTGCACAATTATGTATTATAAAATAGATTTTCTTTTCTTTTAAGTCGTTGGCAAAAAAATTCCTTACTACTATGATCGAATTGTAATAAATTATACTTAAACGACCTGATAAGACGTAGTTGCTTTAAATCATGAAATATATCCGACCCTGTCCAGGGTATCAATAAAATACAGATTAGTCGTAAGTATTACGTCGATGTTATATACAGATATACAAAGTCTAGTAGGAGTCCGGCAAATAAAAATTGAATTTCTTCGATAGCTTATTTGTGATGTCATCATATAATAAATCCGAATCAGGAAAATGGGATGACCGCGGAAAACTACCTCCGTTTGCGAATCCTTGCCGAGTGAATTCGGTCGGAAAATGGGTCTTTGGTATATTTAAAGATCAATCGAACGATAATACAAATACAATTATGGGTAAAGGAAATTTTATTGCAATAAGGTTATTAGTTATTAAAACTGGTTAGGATATAATATTTGTTTTTAGCAATCAACTGTGACATCTTAGTGAAGTGATTGACTACTACTATTGAGTATCATAGATTTATAACTGGCGGTTGTAATCAAATTAACCCAGAATTTTTTAGTAAATTGTTAATTATGTGGCGTGTAATTCTTGTTTACTTGGTATTAGTATTCTTGACTTTTCTGCAGTAATGCCCAAAGACAAACAAATTAGTAATTTTACCTAAACTCTTCGGCCAAGTAATTTCTTTCATAAACTCAATTGATTTTTATCCTTTTTATATCAAAATGTGTATCTTATTCCTCTTTTCAAACGAATTCAAGCTTAATAGTATCAATCGTCAGTCTGCTGCGATATTAATTCAATTTAACGATTTAACTATTCCTGGTCCTTGGACGATCGCCCGGCGGTCGTCAAATACTCCCTAATGGCCAATTAGCGATGTCGTTCAATCGAACTATTGGGATAGTTCGGTTTGCTTTGATGGCTTCTGTAGGACGAAATTCAAGGATAAAAGGTTCTGTTTAGTCAATTAATAAATGATGGTAAAACTGTGTGTAATGTCATCTTTTTGGCAAGTGAAATATATTAGCTACTTTCTGGAAAAATGTTGTTGAGTCGCTCAATCGAACTTTGTTCGAAGAGAGGGTGCTGCTTTGGTGCATTCTTTAGCACGAAATCTGAGGTTAAAAGGTTTTTTTATTCAATTGATGAACGACTTTAGAACAGAATATAGATAATTACCATTTAAAATACAGTATACCCAAACATGTTGGCTAATAGTAACAATTTTATTCAAAAATTTTGGCAAATATTCTTGGTAAAATTTAGCTAGATCAAATAATTCTAAAAAATTTTTTAGACTAATTTTTGCAATTTTGGACTAATTATTACTTTTTTGCTTCGTTAAAGGTGTAGGTCTACACAATAATAAAAAAAGCATTAAGCACTTTAACAAAAACAAATGAAGAAATTATTTGCAAGAATCTGCTAATCATTTAGTTAATATTTTTCCCAGTTTGAGAAACTTGTTCTTAGATGGACAAGACATTATTTAATCCTCTGAGTCACTTATTTGGTGAATGACATGAAATGCAAACATAGTACGATGTATGGCAAACATTCAAAGGCTTTGAACTTGCAATTTCCTTGCTTATGTTACTAATTTACTCAAGCCTAAGAGTTGATCAATCAAAATTGTAACTAAGTCGTTTTGAATCGAAGAAAATTATAAGATGATTATTTGGCATTGAGCTAATTATTGTGAGTTAGGTAATAATTAAATACAACACAGTTTACCTAATCATGATTTCAAGTTATGTTCCTACAAAGTTTAAGTAAATATTTATTTTGTACATATATTTATTTGATAAGGTGGCATCTAATTTTTAATTTGAAATCTAAAACTATACAAGTAAATACAAAGAAGTAGATCACGTAACTGTGGCTTTGTATCTTTTTATCATAAAGTGTAATGAGATATGTTATCTAGACCTAGATAACAAACATCGACTGGACTGCAAGTAACAAATTTATAATTAATTGCTTATTTAATAATTTTATCTTAAAATTTTGTACCCAAAGGAAAAAGTATACCATACATGTCTCATTGTAAAATCTATTTCTATATAATTTTATGTACATATCTAAGTCAATACTTAGTGAATTTAATATTTTATATTATAAAATTAAAATTTATTTTTTTACTATATAAAATATGTAGTAATTTTATTAAATTTCAGTCACATTTTATTACCTCAATGTTGTCAGATTATTTAATTTGAGGTGCATTTCTGAATATTATCTCATGCGTACCTGTTCAAATATATATGACTAACAATGCGTTATCAGTGCCCGATGTCAGAGGCACAAACTTCTATGTGTTTCCATCACAAAATAATCATTCTGCAAGGTGTAAAATTCAAATTCGCCGGTCATTTTGTTCAAAAATCATTAACTTTTACCTGACTTCAAAACAAACATGGTAGATTTTGTCATCGGACCTATAGGCTTCATATCAAAGTTGTATGCCGGTGTGCAAAGATGGCTTTTTAAATAAATTTTAAACCTAAAGTTTTATCGAAATATGACAAGTACTAGTGGATTTTGTGATATTGTGACAAATTAAATTTGAAGCAATCCTCGAGCAATATGAATTTTGTAAGTGTTTTATATTTTTGCTAGTATTTTTATTCCATTAATTGGTTTTTATTGCAAGTAGATTAAGCTGCTCCTCGTGTTTGTGATGATAGACGAAAGTTTTGGGAATGGTTATTGCAATTTGGAAGAATGTAATTGTTATATTGACGATGCCAAATTTGTGGTGGATTGTTCTGAAATGCAATTGAAAGAGATACCTAATGATATTCCTAAAGAAGTAAGATAATTACAAATATAAATCATATTTATATTGAGTGTAATATATAAACACAGACCATTGCAATTTTTCAAATTACTTATTTTTTTTATCATATGATGTATTTAACTTCATTTGTTATGGTTTAATTATATTTTGCCTAGTACGAATATTGTAGTTGAAATTTTATTTCATTTCAGTAAAAGCAAATGATTGCTAGTAGCCAAATGTGTGATCGATAAATTTCAATTTATTTAAAAATATATTGCTCATATCAATTAATATATTTTAACTAATTTAATTTATTATTGTGTAGCCCATTAATTAAAATATTATATTTTAATTGGAAATATCAAAATATTATGATATATTTTATTTCCCGTTTTAAATTTTGTTGACACATACAAGCTGTAATTTTTATAAAAATGAAGTACCGATACTTGACTTTATAGATTGAATCCAGTATTATTTATCTGAACATCATTTCTATGTCTATATATTTTAGGCGCAGATTTTAATCATGACAAATAATAATATCCAAGAACTGTCTGGAGAACTGAAATCATTAGAAAATCTAGAAGAATTACATTTATCCGGCAACAGAATCCGTAAAATATCACGTGATGCCATCGCAAATTTGACGAACCTGAAAAAGATTATTTTATCCAGAAACAATTTAACTAGCTTGACAGATATTCATGCGAGTGAGTTGTTTATTTTAGCAAAACATTTAATCGAAATCGATTTATCACAAAATCCGATTACTTTAGACAGAGACTACGAACGTATGTTTATACACAATCAACAGTTGCAGATATTGAATTTGAGTCATTGCCAAATTCAAAGTTTGACACATCCTAAGTTTTTGAAATATATGCCAAATTTACAAGTTTTAGACTTGAGTTTTAATCCTTTAAATTTAATTACGAATATGCAATCCAGTTCCTTAGTTCAGCTTGAGGTTAGTCATTGTCAATTAGGATTTTTTGATGGAAATTCATTTAATCATTTAACTGGACTGATGAAACTAAATATAGCTTGGAATCCAAGATTATATTTTTCTCGGCGTTATCCTCTTTTGAAATTAGAATCTCTTAAAGAACTAGATATTTCGTTTTGTAATGTAAATAAATTAAGACTAGAAGCATTTCCAAAACTTGTCAATTTAAAAGCTCGTGGAAATATGGTCAACGAATTAAACGAAGAAAGTTTTGAAAAAAATCATTTATTAGAGTATATTAATTTGTCGGGAAACGGGATAGCGAGCGTTGCAAAGAATACGTTTGTTTTATTAGACGAATTAAGAATGATAGATTTGTCGTGGAATGTTTTGTCATCTTTAAATCCTAATACATTTGCTGCAAATAAACAACTCACAAGCATTAATCTATCACGAAATCATTTGAATAGATTAGATTCTTTCGTTTCTAAATCAATCGATACTTTGGACTTAAGTTGGTGTGAAATTCAACATATAAGCAATGATGCTTTTGTCAGATTGCCGGAATTAATAGACTTAAATCTGTCTCATAATTTAATAAGTGAGATACCTGAACGATTGCAAGCATCGAAACTTCAAAAATTAGATCTCACCTTCTGTCGACTCAAAACCTTAAGAAATGAAACATTACAAGGGATGCCTTTCTTGTCAACTTTATTACTTGGTGGTAATAGAATGACGACACCTTTTCATGAAAGTTATTTCTCTGGTAACCATGCACTTAAAGAGATAGATTTATCAGACAATCCATGGCGTTGTGAATGCATGTCCGAAAGTTTTAAAAATCTTTTCAAATACTTACGTCCAAGAGTGGATGACATTCGTGCTTTGAAGTGCGAGTCGCCAAATGTAGTTGCTGGTAAATCTTGGTCAAGCGCTTGTGGAACTGTTTGGAACCCTAATTTACTACCTGTGTCCAAGGCCGATAAATTTTGGATGTTTTTAATAGTAATACTTCTGAGTTTTGTAGGCACAATGTGTGTTGTGATGGTTATTCGTAGAACGATAAAGGCCCGAGCCGAAGCTGCTAGACGGGAAGAAGAACGAGTGGCTGAAGAAGCCCGGGAGCGCCAGAGGCAGCAAAGGCTTCTCGAGCGCGAGGCCATGCGCAACGCGCCTGACCCGCGGGACTTAGTGTCACCGCCGTGCTACGAAGAAGCTCTACTTTTACCACGCTTAGACGGAACTTTTGCCTCTTTAGGACACTTGCCATCGGGTAGCAGAGATTTACAGAATAAAATGGGAAAAAATAGAGCAAAGAGTGAAGCTAATGTATCGAAAATAGCGCAACGCGGCAGGAATTTAGCACCTTTGACAATAACCGTGCATCAGGAGCACCCTACGCAAAGTGCAACGGAATTAGCCACTAATGTTAACAATAGCGAATCGAGTTCTTCGACAGCTAGGAATAGTGATGCAACCATGAACGAGGCAAATGTAAATTCTCAACAAACTGAAACTCCTATTACAAGAATTATCCCGAGTTCACCCCCGCCGAAGTATAGTGAGCGGAATCCTATTCCGGTTGAAGTCAATGTAACGGTAGAAGCCCCCGAAGGCCCGACAGAATCTACAAATAATGAACGAGTTCGCAGGGAGAGCGATCTGTGATTATACTCTGAAAATATTTAGACATGATGCGAATCGGTTGCTTTAGTCAATCCAAAAACCAGTGAAGTTCCATGCATGAAGTGACTCTATCTATGATTGCAACACAAATATACGTTGAAGTTTGTTATGAAATTCAGATGGTGCTTGCAAACATATAAAACTGTTAATTTTAAATCAGAGTCTAAAAACACAATGCACTTTTGGACATTTAACGCTAAATTAATGTTTGAAAGCATATACTTAAAATAATTGATAATTCCAATTCAAAATTTTTATTTTACTGCTAACGAAACTTCGTTTCATGATCTTTTCCAGTTTCATTTTCACCGAAACTGCTAGAAGAATTTATCAGACATAAATAAGAAGTGAATAAATAAAATTTTAATATACTCTTTATTGAAGATATAAGTTATACTGTGTAAAACGTATTTTATAAGAAAATCAGTTTATTATTTATAATTACAGATGTAAGACTAGTTCTTAAATAAACTTACTTAAAACTAAAATAACCTTTTACATTTTAATCATGCATAGATTTTTTTAACATTATTATAACGAAACTTTTTGGCAGCTAAAACCTATTCAAGAATAAGACATTGATAAACAACTATTAATAATTATAGGTTTTCATATACCGATATTATGTACATAACATAAATAAATAAATTAATAATATGCTTTAAGCATTTGTGTAAAAGAAAGCTTATAATTAGTGCATTTTAAGGTCTAACAGTTAATTAGCGATATTTTATACATGTTTAACATTTTAAATATATCAACATTCTATGTTTTGTTTTTGAATTTGAAGAATTAAGGTATTGTAGGAATTTCTTGCGTTGTTTCTTTCGAAACCAATTTTTATGAAGTCAAGGCACAAGGGTGAAAAATGCACAGTTAGCAATAAAAACTTCTAAAAAATAGGTCGTTTAGGCAACTCACATTATTAATCTCTTTCTTAAGTCTACAAATTACAATTAAACATACTTTGCATAATTAAATATAATAATAGCAGCATGGATGTTTTTTTAATAAAAATATTATTTATTTACAATTGATATAATTGTTGTTGATGTATGAAAAGTTCTGGATATTACATCACAGCCATCTTGCCAATCTTAACTTCTTGACGATTAACATTATATATTAAAAATGCATTATTCTACAATATTATAAAATATTTTTCAATATAACGAATTATCTAATTATTAAACTTCTAATATCCTAAAAGTTACTTAAGGCATATAATTCTTGATATGCTTTATAAAGTAATTAACTAAAAAATGTTAATTAAAAATTAAACAAATTGACCTTCTATACAGTAAACGCTTTTAACAATAACTGATGGCAAAATTATAAAATAAATTGCCTGAATTTAACGCAAATTCATGTCAATCAAAATAATATATACTCATATATTATTTTGATTGTAATATTAACAACATAACATTAATTGTGACAAACTCTCATACATAATTAATTTCTAAATCACAATTTCGAATATGTCCTGACTACGACTCGTATTGTATAACAATTTATTGTAAAGTCTAATATTTGTGCACCACAACTTATAAACTTATCTTCCAGTATTTCCATTTAAACCATTTTTATTTACCGGGGTTACAATTATGTCACCAGCATTGGATCTTGTCCTATTGACCAGGACAGGAGTTTTCGGTAACGATTCTGGAATTTCTTTTAGTTTGGTTTTGACTTTATAATCATTGGAACTGTCGTGGTCGTTGACTGGATGAAGTACAGAACTACCTTTATTAGAAGAAACAGGTGCTACATTTTTAGGCAATGGAACATTATCATAAGTTTCAATAGCATCAGCTTTCGGATCCAACAATTTTTCTAGAGCTGGTTTTGGATCAATTGTGCTAGGCACTATTCTTGGCATAGCTACTGGTTTTTTATCTCCATTTGGTAACAATGAATCAGTTTCAAAGTTTCCATTTTTTCCATTTACTGCTGGTTTTGCAGAATTTTGTTCCATTAGTTTTTTATTCATATCTCGCATCTCCGTGCCGCGGCTTTCTACATCACGTTTTCCTTGCCTTTTGCGTTTTTTATCCGATTTTCGTTTTTTGAAAATAACAAATATGATAAGTAATAACAACAGTAGAGATAATACCCCAAGGCATGCATAAGTTGTTACATTGTCACCATCCTGTTCACTTCTTACATTACCTAATTCCACATCGTCCTCCACATCCTTTTTACTTTCAGTTTCTTCGTCTGTTTTAACTTCTACTTTCTCTTCTGGAACAGTTTTTTGAACTTCAGCTTGTATTTTTTCAACAACTTTTGGAATGATTGGAGCTTCAGTAATCAAAGTTTCAGTTGTTGCAACTTCATCGTTCTCGTCATCCTTTTCGTCATCCACTTTAGCTTCAGGTGTGCTCTCTGAAACTTCTTCAGTTGCCGTATTGGAACCAGAAAACCAAGAAAATGGATTCCAATCAAAGAATGAACTTGATGATGTTACAGGTTCCTCAGTTGTAGGTATCTCGGATGCAAAGAATGCATCAAATTCATCATAATCATTAAATGGCAATATACCTCCATCTCCTGATCCTGACCCTGATCCCGAGTCTTCCTCCTCGTCTTCAGTATCATCCATGGGAGACGGTTTTTTCAATGGTTGTTCCGTGGTTGATTTCACCGCTTCTGTAGTAGATGTCGATTCTTCAGCTATATCATCGTAAGTCACTGCTTGGTCTATAAAATCGAAGTCACTTTCTCCTGATCCTTCATAAATAGAATGTTTTTCATCGTGACTGTCATTGGACGGAGGTTTGGACGATACTGTGATAAATAAGTCTTCGTCATCAGGTTCTGAACCTGATCCTTGAAATACGGATCCTCCTAATGGATCATCACCTTGCATCATATCTTCTAAATCATATTTTGTTTTTACTTTGAGACATACGTCGGAAGTTTTAACTTCTGAAAGAAGTATTTGTTTTCCTTGGTCTGTGAGACAGAATGGTTTATCAGTAGAGATGTAGCTTTTAATCAACCAATCGCGAACTTGAATAGTCTCACAGGAACAGGCTAATGAATTGTTTTCCAAAAAGAATCTACGCAGATGCTTCAAGCTTGTAATTTTATACGACAAATCTATTATCCTGTTTCCACGCAAATTTACTTCCTTAACGCTCTGCGGCAAATCTTCTACACTCTTCAAGAAATTATTACTTAAATCTAATTTTACAACATTTTTTGGTAGCTTCTTCACGGAACTTAAATTGTTACCAGATAGATCTAATATGCTAAGACTGTTTAACTTATCTAATTGACCATTGATCGTAGTGATGGTTGGATCACTGAGTTTGAGGATATCTAAATTGAACGTTTTCTCACTATTGAGGTATTTTTGTAATTTAATTAAGTCTGTGCAGTTGGCTTCGATTAAACTATCTGGTGCATTGTAGCAGTTGCATGAATCAGGGCAATCCAATGCCCTCGATACTTGGGCGAAGATTAACAGGGCGCATGCCACTGCACACGGAAACCGGGACATCATGGAAAATCTCTACCTGGGAAAAGAAAAATAATATTAGAAAATAATAATACTAATATCATATACTAAATTCTATTATTTAAATAACTGAAATGTATTCTTTTACACTGTCGATAGATATTAATATTGATGATATGATTCATTTAAATCTAGATATTATTTATCGGCATGTATAAACTTACAATTGTCACATTATCGGAGCATTTCTAATTATAACCGCAAAAATTAATGAACTAGTTCGCATATAGGCATTTCTCATTAACTCATGTATAAATTATTAAAATTGACAGATCTAAATTATAATTCATTCAGTACTTATCAAATTGTGTTCTTTCATGTTGATTATATATTATATAAGACCCATAAATAAAATTACATAGTCGTTTACTTGTTTCCGACTTTGACCCTTGGCCTCGCACGGAGACGTCAATATGGCAATAAAGAAAAATATTAAGAATTCTGCGTAAATAACATCGATTATTATTAAGAGGATCGATAATAAATACTTATTGAATTGTTAATAATACAATGCATACGTAAATATGTAAAACTACCGAGCAGTTTTTGCTAAATGGAAATGCGTTAATGTTTTTTATGAAGTGCTTGGCTTTGTGGAATTATTACCAGTTATGCATTTTGTTCCACGTATTGTTAATAAATCGGTAAATCATATTTTGATCTAAATTTAAAAAAAATGAATATCACTATTGTTTTAGCGTCGTAGATTTGAACCACAATTTTTATTAGTTTTTTCACAATAAGAATAAAAAATCTTTAAGTAGGTTGGCCAAAATCAATTACAAATATGCTCTTGAACCGGCAAATTAATATTGCATTCTTAATTTACTATTTAGGTGCTCTCAAATTGCAGTTCACAAATGTCAATCTTATTTAATTAGCCTAATTAATTGAATTTATACAGCCCACTCTGGATTTTAGATTTATGTCATTACTATTCAAACTGTACTCATTCAATTCAATCTTGGAATTAAATCAATAAATATAAATCGATTACCATCTTCGATCGAATTGTCACAAGTGATTGCAAAATAAAATTAATGTTTCAATTAATTGGAACATAACTCAAAGATTTTTCTTGAAGATGTTACTTGAGCTGAAGGGCACTAATGGACATTGATGTATGTTTCTTAATGAAAGCAGATATAAATAAAACTTTTTGTTACAAGAAATTGAAATGATAGCATAAATAAAAAGAAGCGAATAAGATGATATCAATTGATGGTGGGTAAATGAATATTTAGCACTTCTTAACAAGGAGTGATTTTAGCATAAAGGAGTGATTTTAGCATGAAATAGTTTGTCATCTTTTGTCATTTGGTAATTCCATGGGCAATTCAAATTTGCTTTCGTATAGTAGTTAGTCATCTGAATTTTTTTAGGGTTCATGGCATAAATAAATAACCTAAAATATTATAGGCGTACAAAAATTAGCTTAATTAATTAAAGTATGTGATAAATGCCTTGCCTTGAGGTAAGACACCACTTACAATTTTGCCACTTCCAATTATAATTTTTATTTCTCCCATATAAATTTCTGCTTATTTGGATAGCTTACTTTGTGTTTATCTTTTAATAATAATAAAAACTCTTCTTGTGTTTTTTATCATTTTAAATAAATTGAAAATATTATTGTTTATTTCTAAAGTTGAAAACGAGTGAAAAAACTAAACATCATTTATGCAAATCATAGAAGTGATATCAATCAATTCAAATTAAGATACAAAAATAAGTATTGTTTCTCAATGATGTTTTGGTATAAAATACTTTA